CGCGCCAAAGCTTCCGCGAGACCACGTCATGCACAAAGTCACTCACGACTCAAACTGGTGACTGCCAAGCAGAGCGAAGCAAATGACCGAAAGCAGTGTGTAGTCGTGAGTCGTGAGTCGTGAGTCGTGAGTCGTGAGTCGTGAGTCGTGAGTCGTGAGTAGGTCGAACATTGATTGGCGCCAATCTGGTCCATCATCACCTTTACCATGATTGTCGCAATCTTCACATAGTCCGACTTTGAAGCGCTAACCCGAGCTTGTGCGATATCATCGTCAGAAGCAAAGACAAGGCCGATTTGGTCAAGGCGCAGGCAGCAGTCTTCTCGTCAGATCCATCCGAGCGCAAATCGATCACGAGCATACACTTTCCGCTATCACCAAGCATGATGCAACCTCAAGATGGAGGCGACCACAGCTTGGATGCACCGCCCGTCATCCAGAACCTCTTGACGCAGACCAGTCAGGCTCAACAGAGGGTGCAAGTGTTTCTGGACAGCACCACTCCCTATACTGCAAGGAGATGGGGCGCTACCGCTGCTCTTTTGACTCTGTTCATGCTTCGAGTCATCTTTGGTCAAGGCTGGTACATCAGTGAGTGGAGACTGCTGCATCGCAGCCAGCCTGTCGACCAGACCGAAGTGGGGGGCCTGTTCGTTCATGACTTGACGCTAACCAGAGTCTGCTTGTTCTTTGGCGCTATCTCCCTCTCGGAAAGTTTGCTACGCTCTCTTCATCTACCTGCTCAACCTCTTTCTCGCCTTTCTTCAGCCCAAATTCGACCCTTCGATCGAGGCTGACTTGGCAGAGCAAGATGTGGAAGAAGGAGAGCCGGGTCTGCCCACTTCTGCATCTGCTAGCGGAGGGTTTGGAAAATCGGGCGGGGGAGGATTGATGAGCGGAATGTTCGGAACGCCTGCGCCTTCTGGAGAGGAGGAGTTTAGACCCTTCATCAGGAGATTGCCTGAATTCAAAGTGAGCCATGGGCAAAGCCAAAAAGCGCCTCGATGGTTCTGGACAGAGAATCACCAGCGGGCCCAGCGATGCATACATGCTGCGAGGGTACGCGCATGGTTTGTCACTCGTAGACGCAATCCTCAAGCAGCTCGTGTGCAGAGCGCGCTTTGACAGGTCGCTAGGGTGCCTGCGCTTCTGCGTAGGCTACCGCAGTGGACGCACGCTATCCCGAGGCAAAGTGCGGTGGGCGTTTCTCTTCCAATCAATACCACGATGCTGATGATTGCTGTCCTCTCATCTCAAATGCTCCCCACACAGTTCTGGCTAGGCGCAACCCAAGCCATCCTAATCTCATTGGGCTGCACAATCACACGAGCGTTCGACATTCCAGTCTTTGTCCCCATCCTAGTTCTCTACTTTTTCATCCTCTTTGGCATCACCATGCGAAGGCAGATTGCGCACATGGTCAAGTACAAGTGAGTTGTTTGGGCGTGCCATTGCTGTTGCGCCTCGAGCATTCAAATGCTCATTCGGACCTGCCACGATTTCTACTAGATACGTGCCATTTGATTTGGGACGGAAACAACGCTATGGGGCCAAGTGACGCTGAAGTCTCTGGCCTAGAGGATGAGCATGGAATGGAAGGGTTGAGGGAACAAAAATAAAGGTCGCTCATGGTCGCGCGAGACCCATGAGTGCAGGGAGCTTTTTTGTATAAGCGCTCGTATGTCAAAGAACAATGCAACATTTCATGTCATCGCATTAGCATGCAGAGCTGGAGGCTCTCAATGGCCCGAGGAGGGCGCCACGCGCAAAATTCGGTTGATTCGACTTTATTCATTGCAGGGTGCTTTTTTTCGCGTGCCGCCTCATGCTACGGGTGCAAGCTTGAGATCTTGTCTGAGCAGGTTCCGGCAAATTGGGTGGTAGAAGCTCTTGGACTCCTCGAAGGTTTTTCGCGCAAAGTCGGGATCGACAGCGTACAAGGCTCTGTAGAGTTGCCTGGCATACTTCATCCTGCCAACCGTCTTGACCCATTCTGCGCATTGCTTGGCATACTGCGTCGCTGGATCTTCCAAAGCGATGACGAAGAAGGAGAGGAGAATTTCCCCGCATTGTGCTTGACTGAATTGATACGTCTGGTCCAGCTGTTCGGCAATGGACGCTTTGACTTTGGGTCCGAGGTGCAGCTGCTCCAGAAAGACGACCTGTTGATCGACAGACCATCCCTCGATGTCCTTTTTGCTGAAGCCTTCCGCTTTGCCGCCCTCCTTGATCACCTTGAGCCACCTGTCCGCAAGCGCGTACGACTGCTTGGCGAATCGATCGTCGTAGGTCTGTTGGACAGGCAATTTGCCGCTCTCGCTGTTGAGCCAGGCATCCCAATCCACCTCTTTCAGCTTGTTCGTCACGTGCTCATTGCCCGCAAAAAAGTCCGCGAGGTGTTGCCTAAACTCGCCAGTGGTGACCGATCGATCGTAAAATGTTGCGAACCAGGATCGGATGAAAGGAATGAAAATGTCCAGACCTCCCACTAGCCTTTCCAAGTAGAGGATGAGGTTAGAGCCTGCTTCGTAGGGAATGCGTGAGAATGCGTCGTCGGGATCCTCATTGCCAGAATACTTGGGAACCAGTCGCTTGAATCGTGGGGTGGCATCAAACTCCTTGTAGGCGCCTCCGAGTTCCTTCTCGCCGATGAGGTAGCTGATGTCACACGCGCGAAGACCAAAAGCCGTCTCAGCGATGTGACCGCGACGCATCACCACATGCGATTAGGACGCGGCCAGCTCTCACTCACCTGAGGCCGCGATAAGCAGGACCCACTTCCGGCCCATGTATCTTTTGCAAGATGAGACGCTCGATCCACACATTGATGCCCTCATTTAGCCAAAAGTCTGCCCACGTAGCGCAGCTTGTCAAGTTGCCGCTCCAAAAGTGGGAAAGTTCGTGTAGAACGACGTCGCATTGCGATCTGTCTCCGCACACGAGCGTAGGGGTGAGCAGGACCAGGTTGGGCTGCTCCATTCCGCCATAAGGAAAGCTGGGAGGCAGCACCACGCTGTCGAATCGCGTCCACGAGTAGGGGGAGATGAGCTCTTCAGCTGCCAAGAGGTATTTGTGCGTCGTGGATTTGAACTCCCACTCTGCTCTATCCGCCATGGGAGGCTCAGCCCAAACTCCGCAGCGCGGCCCCAGCGACCTGAAGACAAAGTCTCCACCTACAATTCCAATGAGATACGAAGGGATGCCAACGGGCTGCTTGAATACGTAGTATTTCTCCTCATCGTCTGACAAGCCTTGGCTCTCTGCAGCCAGGGGGTCTCCAGGGTGATCCTCGGACGCCTGAACGGAGCCAGCAGGCAAGGCGGACATGAGGATTGGGATCTTGGATTTGACTCTTGCAGTGTACTTGATCTTGTGGCTCGGAGTGTCTTGAATCGGCACGAGGGATCTGGCGTGAATTGCTTGAGCCTGAGAGAAGACCAAAGGGCTCTTCTTGCCTTCGGTCTGAGCGGCGGTGAGCCAGCCGAGAGCGGTGCATTGATCCGTAGTGCTGTAGTGCACCACCACCCTGCCCTTGCTTCCTTGGCTCCACACTTTGCCGAGCGGTACGGTCAGCGCAGCTCCCAGCGAGCCTTTGCGCGGAGCCAGGTGCCAATCCTTCGTCTCCCTTCCTTCCACCTCCACCTTGTGAATGTCGATGTAGCTCGTATCCAGCACGAGCCTATCCGTTCCCTTCTCCCCAATCACCTCCAGCTCGTGGGCAGCACTGCCAGAGATTAGTTTGGCATCCCAATCCACATGCCATTCCAGATGAAGGTTCAGTGTGCGAATGTCTGCCAGGTTGCTCAGCGTGTGCTGATCAGTGAAGGGAGGTCTGGGTGGAGGTGGGATGCTGCCCGGAGCGGGAGGGACCCAAGAGGAGGCGCTCATCCTGCTGCTGGTAGAGAATGAGAATGAGGATGATGGTGAGAGTAGGGTCTGCTCAAAGGCGCCAAGTCTCTGGAAGCGATTTGGCACTGCAAAGGGCAGACTAGCTGTGTGCTTTGGCGAGCAAGACGAGAATTGGCGGCCAAGTTTTGAGCCAAGTGATGAACGCAGTGCTGACGGCTGTTGACGCACAGCGATGCGAGCAGACATTCGACAAGCACGAGGGAGGATCAGAGGCGCAAAGAGGGCGCTGTGGGGCTCAGCTGGAGATGGCGGTGAGCAGGAGGTGTAGATGGATGGGCGTGAGCAAGTCAAAGATGTGTGAGCACCGCGTTGCGAGGCAAGTCGTGCGCACAGTTTGAGTGGCCAGCGTTCACGCAGCGACCAGCGGTAAGGCCGAAAAGGCAGCTCGTAGCAGCACAATCACGTGAATCACAAATCACGAATCACAAATCTCGAATCTCATCATTCACATTCCGTGATTAGTCGCCTGCTGTTGTGTTTGTCTGATGAGACACACACGGCTCACAAAGTCGCGTGAGTGGGCCGTGCCGATCGAGATGTCGATGATGTACACACCAAGACTATTTAATCACGTGAACCAGAGGAGCTTGCATCACAGACCGGAGTTTCACGTGACCTGCTCGGAGCTGCTACAAAAGTTGTAGCCGTGGGGGATGTTTTGCGAGTTGGCCCAAGGCGCGCTAGCAGCTGCTGCTGCTGCTGCTGCATGCACGCAGCATATGCTCTTTCCTTCTGGACTTCTTCTCAGAGCCCAGGGAACGCGGGGCAGCATCCTCGAATGACTCTTGACTGCTGACGGCTACGCTTTGCATCATCACTTCTCTTTGATCACCGGGACTGGTTGGCAGGTAACAGAACTCTCCTCTGGTGTCCTACACTGGTGTCTCTGTGGAAGTACAGACCAAAACCTGAGCGAAGACACCTCGGTCCCCCAAGCGCAGTGCCTCCACAAAGATGCTTGAGCCACCTCCGCGGTCGATGACGTCTCGATTGGCAACTTGGTTGAGCGGCAACAGCAGGAACAGTCAGATGCAGCCGGTCAATGCTGCTGGTGGTGCATTTGACATTGTTCCCCTACCCCTCTTCCATTGGAGTCTTCGCTTCGCCGCGCTGGCCAAGCAGCATTCGCCAACTTGGCTTGCGGATGTTGTTGCCCAGATCGAACCGCACGCGGGGTCAATCTTGACAGCTGCTTTGACCATTGTGCTGATCGCCTTTCTGACCTCGACGATCATTAAGCGCAGAAAAGAGTCCGCGAGACCAGTTTCTGTGGCTGTGCCTCACGCCGTCCAAGCAGGATGGAATGGCATGGTGCTTCCCTACCCCACCGTCTCCTCCAAAGCCCATCCTCGACTAATCACGTGCTACGATCCATCCACTGCTCAGCACATCTCCGATATCCAGGCTGATGATGCGTCTGCAATCTTTGAGAAGGTGCGCAGAGCACAAGCGGCGCAAAGAGCCTGGGGCGACTCGGAATTTGCGAGGAGAAGGCGGGTACTGAGGACAATCAAGCAGTGGCTCGCCAACGATATGGAAATTGTGGTCAAGGTGGCTTGCAGGGACACTGGCAAGACGGTGAGTGATTCGAAGTCGTCTTTCGAGCTGTCCCGCCTACAACAACACTCAATCGACGTGCTCTGACCTTCCGTCTTTAGGCAGTAGATGCGCTGCTTGGCGAAATCCTGACAACCTTTTCGAAGCTCGACTGGCTCATCGGCAACACCGAGGCTGTTTTGAAAACGGAAGTGCGGCCCTCAAACCTTTTGCTGGCACACAAACGATGCAAGGTCTTTCACAGACCTCTAGGTGTTGTCGCCGCCTGTGTCAGCTGGGTACGTTCTGCGCTTTGGGCTGCATCGGCCCCGCGACTGGGTTCTCATTCTGTCTTCTTGTTGCGCAGAACTACCCCGTCCACAATCTAATCTCACCAGCAATCGCAGCTTTAGCTGCTGGAAACTCTGTGGTAGTCAAGGTGAGCGCAGCATTGTCGACTCTCCACTTTGAGAGAGTCAGGCTGCTCAGCTTGCCCCGCTCAATCATGTAGGTTTCCGAACAAGTGGCTTGGTCCTCTCGGTACATTTTGACAGCCTTGCAAGCGTGCCTCGTCGCTTGCGGAGAGTCTCCAGATCTCGTTCAAGTGGTCGTATGCTATCCCGGAGATGCCGAAGCCTTGACAGCCAATCCAGCCATCAAGCATATGACGTTCATCGGATCGGAGACGGTGGCAAAGCTCGTCGCGCAAAGCGCCGCCAAAGCGATGATACCGACTTGTATGGAGCTTGGTGGTGCAGACCCGATGATCATACTTGAAAATGTGGACCTCAAGTATTTTGCACCTACCTGGATGAGAGGCACCTTTGGCGCCGCGGGGCAGAACTGTAGTAAGTACAACGCCGTGTACGCACCACTTATTGTCGCCACTGTCTCACACATCGAAATCTCTGCGATGCAGTTGGTGCCGAGCGCTTCATCGTCAGCTCAAAAATTGTTGACAAATTCATTGCATTGATGGCACCTCGCATCGAAGCGCTCAAGCCAGGCTCATTCTTAGCTGATACACCTTTCTCCGACTCCAAGGACGTGAAACAGGCCGGCGACCATGTTGAGCACGTAGACATTGGCCCCCTGATCACGGGTGCCCGGATCGAGGCTTTGGAGGCCATCATTGCCGATGCGGTCAAGGCTGGCGCCAGAGTCATCATCGGCGGCAAACGCTACGCGCATCCCAAACACGCACACGGGCATTACTTCCAGCCGACCCTCATAGTGGACATCAAACCTGACATGACAATTGCCCAGGAGGAGTTATTTGCGCCTATATTCCGCGTCATGTCCTTTGACAGCTTGGACGACGCCATTGCTCTAGCGAACGGCACTCGCTACGGGCTCGGCTCAAGCGTCTTTGGCTCCAACAAGAAGCAATGTATGTACGTGGCTAGCAAGCTCGATGCCGGCATGTGCAACATCAACGATTTCGCGTGTGGCTACCTCAACCAGGGCTTGCCTTTCGGTGGAGTCAAGGCATCCGGCTACGGTCGCTTTGCCGGACCAGAAGGCCTGCGTGCGCTCACCTCACCCAAGGCCACGACTGAAGACATCTTCTTCTCGGCAATTCGCACAGCGATCCCACCCCCGCTCGACTACCCTTTGACCAACCCAACGAATGCTTGGAGCTTTGCGCAAGGTCTTGGCAACTTTGTGGGAGGCAGTCTCTCGCAGAAGGCGCGGGGAATCTTCGCGCTTATCCGTGGATCGTTGTGAGCTTGTGCGGACAAGGCACGTCAGGACGTGTGAGCGAACAATGTACGCACCTGGCTGCCATCATTCCACGCATTCCTACCTGGTGCTGAGTATGTGAAGGAGCTCGCTGAGGCGCAAAGCTTCTCGCTTCTGCGTGGGGGCCCTGAGCAGGTGCATACAAAGCTGCGCCAATTTTCCTGCCTTTCTGCTGTATTCGTCATTGTATGACGGACAACCCGTCCATGCATCTATCAATCGCTTGGCTCGATGAAAGCTCATCAATATAAGCTGACTCTAGAAAGCTGTGCACGCACCCACATTGCCAAGAGAATGCCGAAAGTGTGAGTGCTGAATAAACGATTGCAGTTGAATGAAAGCCCAGTGTGAGTCAAGTGTCAACGAACAAAGTCACGAGTGACTCCTGAGCTGGCCTCAAATCGGGAACCCGAGCTTCCCAGGCCCGATTTCTGTCCGCACGGGATGCCGAGTGGTCATGCGCACACAGTCACTCGGTACATAGGGACACGAGTGCGGTTATCGTGAGTTTGCCGGCGCTATGCGCGACCCGCAACAGCAACCAGAAAAATCGCGATAGCGGCACTACGCCGGTATCATACACTCATGACTCAAGCCTGTCTTGCGTGCCCCTTGTTTGCTTACTTGCCTATCGTCATTGAGTCGTGAACATCCCAAACGTAGCGCGATCGCATCTTTGGATTATGCCGGAGCGCGCGTCAACCTCCGCGCGCGTTCGCCTTTCTCATGCTTGATTCAGATCGTGATTCAACACATTAGAAGTTCATTTGATGATTCTGTCCTTCAACCAGCATCAATCAAAACGGCGCTCGTCAGCGCATCCAGAATTGTATGGCAACGCCTTTTCGTGCAAGGTGGCTAGCTAGCGCGCATGAACGCCCTAACTGTATGAGGGTTTATGCGTGTCGGAATCACTGATTCTCGTCGTCTGGTGCTGGCAGCGACTCAAGACTGTTTGTATACTCCTTGCTTGCAGGTAGTGTCACTGCGCCGATCGAGAGAGGTTTGCGGCGCCTTGCTCCGGAATAGAAATAATAATAAAACAGCTAGTCAGAAAAGACGCGCGGCGTAAGCGAGCCTTGCGGGCGCAAACCAAAACATCAGCTGCTGGGTATGTGCATGCGCTGACCTATCCAGGCGTTTACAGCAAATCTGAATCTTGCCGCTGCACGAAGCGCCTTCGCCTGGTGCGGCTCGATCGCCCGGCCTCGTAGCGGCGCAGGGTGCTCTGGTGCTGCGTTGCATATATGCTGATGTCGCCTATAGTGGCCATTCCACATGGCCGGAGCGCTGCCGCAAGGCCTTCCTCCGAGACCTCCGCCACAGCGCCGTTCACTCAGACTGATCAGCAGCAGCAGCAGCAGCAGCAGCCCAAACGCGTTGGCGCGCTTCGCCCACGTCTGCCCATGCACGCATGCGTGCATGCGCTGCATGCATGCACGCACTCGCCGCTCGTCTCATGTCTCCGACAAGAGCGCGCCGAGGCTTCTTGTCTCGAGCGAGCAGGCTGCGAACGCAAGCGCGTCCCGAGCGGCTTCGTCGTAGCACCGCTTCCGGCTCGTCCTCTCCCCTCCTCTTCATCTGCTTTGCGATCTAGAAAGCAGCGCACACGCGTGTGTATAGCTAGCTGGTCTCCACGGCAAGGCCCAACTTGATTGCGCGCGTACTCAGGCCTCCTCGCCAGCATTGATGGTGATTGCTCCCTACCTGCGCCCTTACGACCAACCCCTCTCCTGCTTGGCACGCGTTACGGAGCCATCTCACTGGTCGCACCGATCGGTCGCACGGCAAGCCGTCCGTAGTCACCACCATACTGGCACACCAGCTCCCTTGCTCTCGACACCAAAGCCCTTAGTCATCCAATATACATTCCCGCGCCCAACGCGATCTCGACGGCCCGAATTTCTCCCACCAACTTCTATCCGACTTGCCTCCTCTCATCACCCTTGCGCCCATCTGCCCCTCATTCCGACGCCCACCGTCCCTCGACTCCTCATTACCCTACGACTTGTACGCGCCGCCACCTCTTCGCACATCGTCCGGTCAAGATAAGGGAGTTGCCGAGATAGTAATTAGGCGGCAGGCGCGGAACTTTCTTTGGTCTTCTTTCCCGACTTCAAAATAAAGTTGCAGCCGCTCATTTGGGTGAGTCTTTCCGTTGGCAGCGCACGTGTCTGCCAGGATAAGCGTCTAGCGAGTTGGCCAACTCGCTTTGTCGCGCGCGCACTCCCATCGCGATGCGTAGACAGGGTAATCGAATGAGTGGATTGCAGGACACCTCCGTCTTTTGTGCTAGGTTGAGGTGCGGCTTCAAACCTCGAGGAAGAGGGTTACCTGGCTGATAGTGCGCATGGAAGCATGTCGTCCGCGTCCAATCGATCGTAGCGGAGGGAGGAATATGGTCGAGCAAATACCGCCTCCATGATGATGCCTCTTGACGGCCTCTCGTCCATTCATGGCTGTATGACCACGGCACCACGCCAGCCACCTTCTCGACTGGGATGATCATCGCAAAGCGAAGAGTCGGCACAACAATTCCGGGGAGACATTTCAATGAGGCGGGACCGTCTGCTGCACATATATGGGCATATCGATCGGGAAGCTTGATTTTGCGCAAGCATAACTCTGTATGAGCAGCTCCACGAAGTGAGCTGCGTTCAGAAGGGCTCGCAACCCGCTTCGGTGGCCGTGGTGCTGCTGGGTAGTCCTTCGTGTGAAGGTGCACAAGCGATGAGACGGTCAGCCAATCTCGAGTCACTGGGCGCGTGCGCTTTACACACCTCGGCGAGCCGGCGAGCGCCATCCATCGTTAAAGGCACAACAGACGTAGACCAGACAGACTCTGGCTGTTTCTGCTCCTTCGGCCTCGATCCTCGTTTGCGTCGTCCGACCAGCGCCGCCTTCGAAAGCACGCAGCCGAGACCCGAAGAATGGCAGGACGATTCAGTTGATGCAGCCACCTCGGCGGACGTACTGGCATCGCGGCGGCGCAATCAGAATCTCTTGCAGTTCTCGCGTGTTGTGCATACGGCAGCCGCAATTGAGCTTTGACGATGAAGTCAGACAGCAGCTGTTTCGCACATGGCGCGCAGACTCGCAGACTGTGACTCTCACGATCAGACTCATCAGACTCATTCGCGACTCGGATGGGCGAGGCTTCATACCAGCGAAGTCAGCGTCAGCCGTCAGGGCTGCATGCTTCAGTGCTACGCGAGGTATAGGCTTCAGTCTGCGCGCAGCCCTAGCTCGCACTCGAGGCGTGGTTGCAAGCCACTTTGGCGTCGAAATGAGCGTAGAAAGGGCGCACAGCCAGCCCTACCTTGGCGCAGCAACATGCCATATGGCGATTGAAGCGGAGATGAGCGACGTCGCTATGCTGCTGCTTGCCATGGACGTGCAAGGCAGGCAGTGTGGAGAGGGCGTGCGGTCTTTGGAAGCGGGCCGCTTGCGTGCAGTACCTTGTTCTGTTGGGCCACCCACCATCCGCCGTCGAGCTGGTACTGCACCTTTTACCACCTTGGACTCGCTCATTTCAAATTGCCACCTCATTCTTGCTTCGCTGGGCGGTAGTCGTAGCTGGTGCGGGGCGACTTTCAGTCAGCTGACCTTTGCGCTCCTTGCCCCCCCTTTCTATCCCTTCTATCTTGCTTCTCGTCCCTCCTGGGCCAATGCTTTGACGCTGCTTCGATCACCTCACCTCATCTTCACGCATCTTCGCATTCGATTTGGCCCACGATTCTCGCTTGGGCTTCTGACTTTGTTCATTGCACGATGTCCTTGCAATACGCAAACACAGGGCGGAGACGTGCTGGTACGATCGAGTCATCGCACTTTGGCCAGGTAGCACCACAGCAAACACGGCCGTTGTCTGCAGTGACGTTCAAGCATCGTTCAGAGGTGAATCCGAGCATAGCAGTCACACACAGCACCGGAACGCTCGATAGCTCGGTCGAGCGTCTGCCCTTCAATTCTCGACCGCAGCTGCCCGGGGACCACTTCCTGGTCCCAGCCACTCCCAGCTCGACGACCTCTCATCCATCTGCGGGCCTCCCGTCGGCCACTTCACCGAGACCCAAGCAAGTCATTGAGAGCAGTAACAACAACAAGCTTTTGCTTCGCGAGCGAAGTGCTACGGCATCGCGGTTAGTGCCCACGGTAGTCGCTGTGAATCCTGCGGATCAAAGGCTTGACTTGTCAGTGAACGGTAATACCAAACTTCTTACGCACGCCGCTAGCCTAGGCGAGAGCGGTCTCATCATGCAGACGCGCCATGCTGACGAAGGCGCAGCTTGGGAGGCGCGCAAACGCAGGAATGAAGACGATTCTCGGTTCGTGTCGTAAGTGACACCACTGGCACTCACAGTCCGAAGAGATCGTCCCACTACTGACCTGCTGCACCTCAATAACCTTTAATGCAGTCCGCGAAGCTCGCACGCCGCGCTTCGTGCGTCGCCACAAACCCGCACGGCCGCTCTGCGTGAGGAGAGCCGGCCTTTGCCACCGCGAATGCTTTCGGGTGCCACCGCTTCGCCAGGTGGATATGGTGCTTCGCCTCACAATGGCCACGCTTCTCCCCACATGCAACTACCAAGCTTCAATCATCTCGCCTCGGGCGGGCCGGACGATCCTGTGAACGGCAAGAGGAGGAGAGTTACAGTCTCTAGGCAAGACGAAGAAGCGAGAGTGAGTATCTGGGCAACGCAGCTAGCGTGAAGCGATGCAGTCTTCTGATAAATTCGCTGCTTTCGTCTTTGTCCAGGCCCGAGACGCCTACGACTACGTGGATGAAGATGAGGAAGCATATCGTGCTGCCGCTCGAGCAAGGCGTGGGCCAGAACGTGACGGGGCAGCTCACTACTCTCCAGAGTCTCGCCACTACGCTGCTGGCCCTCCACAAAACGGACCAGTTCCAACTTCGGCCGAAGCCGAGCAGTACGAGGGTGTTGTGCCTCTCAGTCGTCGGCGTGGTGACTTGGCCCATGCGAAGGCTAGCCGATTGCATATTGACGTTGGGAACAGCGGAAGCCCCACCGCCGCTGATCTCCCATCATCGGGCAGTCGTCGAACAAATGCCCCAACGCCCGTTGCGCGCTCGGCGCCAGCGCACAAGATCAGCTTTGATGGCGAGCCTGGTCTCTCCTCTCGTCATCCGGGCGCTCACCAAAGTCCTGCAGGCACCGGCATGGCTCCAGGACCCATCGGCCGACGAGTCGAGTACGAGATCGATGAGCGTTATGCTGGCGCTTCGCCTCCGCAGCGAGGATTGGCCCCACGTCCCGAGCCTGCTGGATCCCAACGATCAGCCATGGGCCACGGGTATGCAGCTCCCTTAGCATCTGCTCGTTTTGTTCCTCAGACTGCCACGCTGCCATCTCCTGCATATCATACGACTGCTTTCATGCGAGGTGGAGGCCCACCAGGTGCA